GTGAGCCGAGATCGCGCCATTGCACTCCAGCCTGGGTAACAAGAGCGAAACTCTGTCAAAAAAAAAAAAAAAAAGACACAGACTGGCAAATTGGATAAAGAGTCAAGACCCATTGGTGTGTTGCATTCAGGAGACCCACCTCATGTGCAAAGACATACATGGGCTCAAAACAAAGGGATGAAGGAAAATTCACCAAGCAAATGGAAAGCAAAAAAAAAAAAAAAAAAAAAAAAAAAATGGCAGGAGTTGCAATCCTAGTCTCCAACAACAACAACAACAACAAAAGACAAAGAAGGGCATTACATAACAGTAAAGGGAACAATTCAATAAGAGCTAACTATTCTAAATATATATATACTAATATATATATGTACCCAATTACATGGAAATTGAACAACCTGCTCCTGGATGACTCCTGAGTAAATAATGAAATTAAGGCAGAAATCAAGAAGTTCTTTGAAACCAAAGGAAACAAAGACACAAGGTACCAGAATCTCTGGGACACAGCTAAGGCAGTGTTAAGAGGAAAATTTATACCACTAAGTGCCCACATCAAAAAGCTAGAAAGATCTCAAATCAACACCCTAACATCACAATTAAAAGAGCTAAAGAAGCAAGAGCAAACTAATCCAAAAGCTAGCAGAAGACAAGAAATAACTAATATCAGAGAAAAATGGAAGGAGATTGAGACAAGAAAAACCATCCAAAAATCAATGAATCCAGGAGCTGTTTTTTTTGAAAATAATTAACAAAATAGATAAACCACTAGCTGGACTAATAAAGAAGAAAAGAGAGAAGAACCAAATAGATGCAAAAAATGATAAAGGGAATATCACCATTGATCTTACAGAAATGCAAACTACCATCAGAGTTTATAAACACTTCTATGCAAATAAACTAGAAAATCTAGAAGAAATGAATAAATTCCTGGAAACATACACCCTCCCGAGACTAAATCAAGAAGTCCAATTCCTGAATAGACCAATAAAAAGTTCTGAAATTGAGGCAGTAATGAATAGCCTATCAACCAAAAAAAGCCAAGGACCGGATGGATTCACAGCTGAATTCTATCAGAAATACAAAGGGAAGCTGGTCCCATTGGTTCTGAAACTGTTCCAAATAGTTGAAAAGGAAGGACACCTCCCTAACTCATTTTATGAAGCCAGCATCATCCTGATACCAAAATCTGGCAGAGACACAACAAAAAAAGAAAACTTCAGGCCAATATCCCTAATGAATATAGATGTAAAAATCCTTAATAAAATACTGGCAAACAAAATCCAGCAGTACGTCAAAAAACTTATTTACCATGATCAAGTCAGCTTCATCCCTGGGATGCAAGTCTGGTTCAATGTACTCAAATCAATAAACATAATCCATCACATAAACAAAACCAAAGACAAAAACCATATGATTATCTTAATAGATACAGAAAAGGCCTTTGATAAAATTCAACATCTTTTCATGTTAAAACCTCTCAATAAACTAGGTATTGATGGAATATATCTCAAGATAATAAGAGCTGTTTATGACAAACCCACAGCCAATATCATATTGAATGGGCAAAAGCTGGAAGCAAAAACCAGTACAAGACAAGGATACCCTCTCTCACCACTCCTATTCAACATAGTATTGGAAGTTATGCCTAGGGCAATCAGGTAAGAGAAGAAAATAAAGAATATTCGAATGGGAAGAGAGGAAGTCAAATTGTCTCTGCTTGCAGAGGACATGATTTTATATTCAGAAAACCTCATCATCTCAGCCCAAAATCTCCTTAAACTGATAAGCAAGTTCAGTAAAGTCTCAGGATACAAAATCAATGTGCAAAAATCACAAGCATTCTTTCACACCAACAACAGACAAGCAGAGAGCCAAATCATGAATGAACTCCCATTCACAATCACTACAAAGAGAATAAAATACCTAGGAACACAGCTTAAAAGGGATGTGAAGGACCTCTTCAAGGAGAACTGCAAACCACTGCTCAAGGAAATAAGAGAGGACACAAACAAACAGAAAAACATTTCATCCTCTTGGATAGGAAGAATCAATATCATGAAAATGACCATACTGCCCAAAGTAATTTATAGATTCAATGCTATTCCCATCAAACTACCATTGACATTCTTCACAGAATTAGAAAAAACTATTTTAAATTCCATATGGAATAAAAAAAGACTCCATATAGCCAAGACAATCCTAAACAAAAAGAACGAAACTGGAGGCATCACGTTGCCTGACTTCGAACTATACTACAAGGCTGCAGTATCTAAAACAGCATGGTACTGGCACCAAAACAGACGTATAAACCAATGAAGCAGAATAGAGACCTCAGAAATAACACTACACATCTACAACTATCTGATCTTCAACAAACCTGACAAAGTCAATGGGGAAGGGAGTCCCTATTTAATAAATGGTGCCGGGACTGTTTACAATAGCAAACATCTGGAACCAACCCAAATGCCCATCGATGATAGACTGGACAGGGAAAATGTGGCACATATACACCATGGAATATTATGCAGCTATCAAGAACGATGAGTTTGTGTCCTTTGTAGGGACATGGATGAACCTGGAAACCATCATTCTCAGCAAACTGACAGAAGAGCAGAAGATCAAACACCGCATGTTCTCACTCATAGGCGGGTGTTGAACAATGAGAACACATGGACACAGAGAGGGGAGCACTACACACTGGGGTCAGTTGGGGGGCAAAAGGGGAGGGATGGTGGGGGGTGGGGAGTTGGGGAGAGATAGCAAGGGGAGAGATGCCAGATGTAGGTGATGGGGAGGAAGGCAGCAAATCACACTGCCACGTGTGTACCTATGCAACAATCTTGCATGTTCATCACATGTACCCAAAAACCTAAAATGCAATAAAATAAATGGAAAAAAAAACCCCATCAACAAAATGGTCAAAGGATATGAACAGACACTTCTCAAAAGAAGACATTTACACAGACAAAATAAACATATGAAAAAAAGCTCAACATCACTGATCATCAGAGAAATGCAAATCAAAACCACAATGAGATACCATCTCATGTCAGTAAGAATAGTGATTTTAAAAAAGTCAGGAAACAATAGATGCTGGTGAGGCTGTGGAGAAATAGGAATGCTTTTACACTGTTGGTGGGAATGTAAATTAGTTCAACCATTGTGGAAGATAGTATGTCGATTCCTCAAGGATCTAGAACCAGAAATACCATTTGACTCAGCAATCCCATTACTGGGTACATACCCAAAAGAATATAAATCATTCTACTATAAAGACACATGGACATGTATATTAATTGCAGCACTATTTACAATACCAAAGATGTGGAACCAACCCAAATGGCCATCAATAATAGACTGGACAAGGAAAATGTGGCCCATATACACCATGAACACTATGCTGCCATAAAAAGGAATGAGGTCATGTCCTTTGCAGGGACATGGATGAAGCTGGAAGCCACCATCTTCAGCAAACTAACACAGGAACCGAAAACCAAACAGTCCATGTTCTCACTCATAAGTGGGAGTTGAACATTGAGAACACATGGACACAGAGAGGGGAACAATACACACCAGGGCCTGCTGGGGGTAGGGGGTGCTGGGAGGGAACTTAGAGGATGGGTCAATAGGTGCAGCAAACCACCATGGCACATGTATAACCTATGTAACAAACCTGCACATTCATCCCTTTTTTTGTTGTTTTAGAAGAAATTAAAAACAACAACAACAACAAACCTCTTATAGATTTTCAGGGCTGGGCTGCAGAGTAAAATAATCACCATCATCATCACCATCACCATCACCACCATCATCATCATCATTATCATCATGACTATGTTAGTGCTTACTGCATGCCAGGTACTATTCTGACCGCTTCACATATATATTAACTCATTTGATCCTCATAACCACCTTTTTAGGTGGTTATGATCCTCATAATCCATCCTTTTTAGCTTGTTTATAGAGCCCTTCCATGAATGTCCTCCGCCTCGCCTCTGCTCCAATCACAAGAGCCTTTCTCCTGTTTCTCGGCACTCCATCCTCTTTCCCATTTCCCTGCCTTTGTGCCTGCCGTTCTGTCTGCTTGGAATGTTGTTAACCCTCTGTTTACTTGGTTAATTCTTACCCCTCCCCACCCCGCAACACCGTCCAGACTCCATTCCCAAACCATTGTCTCTGCAGGACTCCAAACCCTCCAGGCAGAGTTGGCCACTTCCAGTTCTGTGGTCACACCTGCCCTGTCACAAGGCAGTCTCTGCTGTACTACACAACAGATTCCGCTTATATATCTGTGTCCTCTACAGGGTGACGAGCTCCCTAAAATCAGAAAGCACCCCTCCTTTGTTTGTTTCTTAGCATTTATCAGGGGCCTGTTATACAGTGGGTTATGAAAAATGTTTGTGAAGGAGGCACTTAGCCAGGCACTCGATGAGGTCAGGGACCACATCTTTCTTCTGTGCTGTGAACCCAGCCTCTAGCATAAACACATAGGAAGCTCTCAATTGATACTTGAATGGAAAAATTAACTGGATCATCATGGTTTTGTGAAATTCAACCAAGCAGAATTTCCTATTTTTCATTTCCTCATTTGTAGGCAGTGGTTTCAGCAACAGCAACTTGGGACCTCTTAATATTTAATAATTTTTTTATTCACAGTTAAGGCATGAGTATTCTTGGTTTCTTGACTCCATTTTGAAAATCTGAAAATTAAGTATCTGGAGCACAGATGAGTAAGAATACGTTCCTATTGAATTTTAGGACACTCTCTCTGTAATGTCATATGTTCTTATTTTTAGATTTAAGAGCTATTTAGTTATCACTCATATTCATTAAGAATGAAAAATAGAGTTACATGCCATTTTATAACTATCAATATGTCTAGTTAGTGAGATCAAATATTTTGTGATGTAAAAACTACTGTTCATTGATTGAAACCAACGAGGAGAAGCTAGGTAAGGAGAGTGTCCTGTGCCATGGTTGCCTTGGCCTGGAACCTTTACCTGCTGGCCGGGCTTGATGGGCGACAGCGTGATGCCCTGGGTGTTGATCACAGGCAGGATCTGGTTCCCAATGACAGTGGCGATGATCTGGCCCTGGGCATTTGTTAGGAGCTGGGGGGTGATTGGCTGCACTTGCAGGCCCTGAGTGCCGCTTGCTGCTTGGCTCGATGGCCCCGGATTAGGCATCAGTGGAATGGTCCCAATAATCTGCAAGAGACAGGCCCAAAAGGTGAGGAGCTGGCTCCGTGCAGGGTCTGTGCATGCAACTAAAGACCATGTAGTGCCTGGTCTCTGTAGGATGCTGCTTGGGAGCTGACTTAGAATCTGCAAGGGGGCATGGTGGAAGGAAGTGGCAGGGGCAGGTGTCTAAAGAAGAGATAAGTACACATGAACTGATTCATGGGACGGAAGGGACAAACATCTTATTTAAAAATAAAATCAAGCATTTGTTCAGGCATAAACATGCAGTTTTTGCCAGGGCAGAGCTGACATCGGCTTTTTCTCAGAACCAGGAGGATGGGCTTCTTACAGCACTCAAGGCCCTCTTCCACCTGGGGAGCTGCATCCCCTCTGACCCCCCAACCCCAGGGGCTCCACACTCCTGGAACTCAAGGGGACCCTCTGACATTCTTTCCTCTGCCTCCTTCCCTCCACGGACATTCAGCTCCTCTCCCAAGGTCTGGGGAGGGGCTCCCTGATACCCCCAGCAGGATTAGGGGCCTCACACATGCTGGTGCTCACAGTGGTGGAGAGCCTGGGCTCTGGAGACAGAGTGACAGGATTCCATTCCCAGCTGTGCCACTTACTGGCTGTGGCACATTTGTCAAGGGATCTAAGCTTTGCAAAGGCTTGAGAGAAATGAGATTATAAACAAATGTTTGAAACTCTTAAAATAGAGGTGAAATGACTACTGAGGACTGAAATCAGAAAGCAAGTGCCTTTTAAATGATGTGTTTCAAAGCCAGGGCCTAAAGGCGAGGGGCTTGGGGCTTCTGTGGCAGGTGGCAGGGGAGGCTCTTCTCTGCATTCAGTGGCTTCTGGCTTCAGCCAGGGACCTTGGGGACTGACCGCAGGAGGGGCCTGGCCAGATCCAATTACTGTGCCAAGGAGAAAGGCACCATGAATAGAAACAGCAAATGGACAGACCGGATGTCCATAGAATCTGGAAATAGAGACCATATTATTAGGGACACAGTTAGTGAGAGATGTAATCTGTAAAAACCTAAAACATGATCTCTATTTCCAGTTGTGGTGGTGTCTCCCGAGATGTGATGTGGCACTGGCTGTGTGGATGCTTTTTCACTTCCACATACATTAGGATGGTTATGCAGCTCTGCTTTGCCAGTCTCCTTTAAGGCCTCTGGCTCTCAGAGGTGAAATATGGTGACCTGGCCTGAGGGCCACCAGGACACGGTAATAAGATCTCAGGAAGTATTTTCACATGTATCATTCCTCTGCATTCTATATTCTTACAATACCTCTGTGAAGTAATATTTGTCATACCTCTGCTTACTAGACAAGACACAGGGACATAGGCCAAGCAACTCAGCAGTTTCTTCACAGAGGCATTTGTAAGTGACAGTCTGGGGCTACAGTCCAGGTTTGGCTGATCCCAAGCGCTTACTTTTCCATCCTTCCCTCTGGCTCCCACTGCACAGAGGACCTTGGAGGGTGCCAACTCTTAGAAAATGTACTGTGGGCCAGGTGTGGTGGCTCCAACCTGTAATCCCAGCACTTTGGGAGGCCGAGGTAGGTGGATTGCCTGAGGTGAGGAGTTTGAGGCTAGCCTGACCAACATAGTGAAGCCCCGTCTCTACTAAAAATACAAAAAATTAGCCAGGCATGTTGGTGGGTGCCTGTAATCCCAGCTACTGGGGAGGCCGAGGCAGGAGAATCACTTGAACCCAGGAGGTGGAGGTTTTGGTGAGCCAAGATTGCACCATTGCACTCCAGCCTGGGCAACAAGAGTGAGACTCCGTCTCAAAAGAAAAAAAAAAGAAAATGCACTGTGTGTCGTTTGTAATTTCCCACTAGATGAAAGACTGCTGGTGGGCTGGGTTTGTAATTGATACTGCTTTCTACCTGCACGACATCCCAAGCAGTACTTTGAACATAGTTTCTCAATAAATGTTTTTCGATTCAATGATTTCTAGACTCAGCTCTCACTGGGACTCCAGATGCAGCTGAAACCACAGGAGAACTGCAAGACCACGCCATTCAGTGACAGATCGTGCTGGATAAAGCTTCCTCATCACTGGGCCATTTTTTCCACCACAAAAGCCCCTGTGGGCTGGCACTAATGGAGGACCTGTGCGGCTACCAAGTATCAATGACATTTGTCAATGGAGGCCGATAAAGGTCAAGTAATTACTGCGAGAGTGGTCAGCTGTCCCCTAGGGAGTGTGGCAGGGCTGCAGTCTCACTGAGCAAGCCTGCGATGCCTGGCCCGCAGCATCAGCAATGAGCACGTCCCATCAGTGCGGGCAAGGTCAGGAGGCGTCCACATCAATAGATCATCGTGCATAAGTACTTTATTGATGAGTGGTCTTGCATTAAACAACCAAGAATCAAAGGCTGGCTCCTGTGACCCCACAGGCAAGGTAAGAGAGGCCCGGGAACAGGCCTCCCATCTTCAGCCTATGTTGGATAACTTCCCTTTCCACAGATGCACAATCAAAACTCAGCCACCAACCTACCCACTTTGGCTTTTGCCCGTGTCTTAGGCTTCTGCAGCCTCACTTCATCCGATTGGCCTGAGCTGAAAGCCTGTGGAAGATGGACGCACCTACGGGGCAGGGTTATAGGTCCTGTTTGAGGCAGGGTGTCAGTGCGGTTAAGAGCCAGGGGGAGCAAGTAGCTTGAGAGAATGGTTCAGGGTGAGCACAGCACATGACAGTTACAGAACACACTGCGATGAAGAGAGAGGCGTTTTGCCTCAGGAAGATTGACACCAGTCTGTGCTTGCCTCTGTGGTAGTGAAATACTCTGCCTGCTTTCTGGGTGGAAAGAAGAAAGGCAAATGCAAACAAGTCATTAGCCTCTTCCTGAAGCACAACCTCACTCCCGACTGCGTGCTGCCACATTACTAAAACATGGTGCTGCCTGTGCTCCTCCCCACCCTGTCCTCTCTTCTTTTCTAGGCCTGAGCATCATTTATCAAGGATAGGATAACAGTAGTGTCAGCACTAGAGGAATCTGTAATGGCCTGACTGTAGGTGCCTTTAACAAAGAGAGTCTGCCTTCGAGGTAGGGGTAGGGGGTCATGAGCAATTCTAAAGTCAGGAAGCCTTTGGTGATGTTATGCATTTCTTATTTTTGTTCCCCTTTCAGGGGTATTAGGGTCACCATCTCAACGAGTCAAAAACTCGGTGGTGCATTATGGGGAATTTCGTCATATTCCTGAATGCATCACAACAGGTTGGTTTTAATTTGCTCCCATTCATTGAAGGGTAAAGATGGTCACACACTGTGTCATCTAAATATTCTCTGATGTGACTGTTTTGCTTATGCTGGCTCTGATCCCTTTTAGCACAGCCACAGATCTAATCAGAGCTTCTACATGGACTTTGACTTCACAGAGGTCATGAGAAGGGAACTGGGAGAGCTGAGCTGGCAAAAGTCTGAGACTCTCTGTAGTCATGAGAAGTTGTCCATTTCACCTGTGGAAATCATATTTTAAATAAAGGCCTTTTGATATTCAAGGGAAGTATGTGCATCTACATATGTTTCAACTAAATCAGGAAATTAAAAAGGAAGTTTGACAAGGCCGTAGGGAAATCTCTTATTTGAGAGTAAAGATAGAAAGAGGATGCTTTTGAAATGCTTGCAGTCCTAAAACTAGCTTTCGGAGTTTGACTTCCCAGCTCCCAGAAGCTAAAATTTACGGCTAGAAGTCCTGATGGAAGGATTTGCCACTGAGCACATGGGCAACTAGGCTGTGACTCCTGTTCAAGGCACTCAATGTACAAGACAAATTTATGTTCTCCTGAAATGCTGAGGATTCCTACAGAGCAGCCTAATACCTGTAGGTCCTTCTCTCTATAAATACTGTGTCAGGTGCCATGAAGGATGCCAAGAAGGATGCAACTGGGGCAGAGGAGGGGTAAACAAGACAGGCACCTTGAATGCAGAGATTCCAAGAATCCAAGGGTGGAAATGATGAGCACCAAATGAGTAGCAAGAACTCTTGGAGAAAAAAATCTCTATACCCATGTGGTGGGTGTGCAAAACACTATTGGGAAGGAATGAGTTATTTCTGAGGAAGAAAGGTGGAGCTGGTTCAAGAGGCCTTCACAAACGAAATGGGTCTGGAGGTTGGGTGAGATTTGGGGAAGGCAGAGAAACCATTCCATACAGGAGATCAGCCTAAAGGTGAGAAACATGGGGTATAGGGAGTTGGATGCAAGAAAAGGTTGAGACGGGTTAGCCTGAGAGGGTCAAATTCCATCCAGCCAAGGGGTTCCAGTGAGGGAGTTTTGTTGGGAGTGTAGAGGAGTGCTGAAATGGGCACTTCCACGTAAAATATCACTGTGTGAACAGAATGGACTCAAATGGTGAGGGATTACAGATCTGGTAAACAGTTGTAGACCTAGGATGCTACTGTAGTGTCCAAGTGAGAATCAAAATGCCTCAATGACTCCTTGGCATAGGATTTTCTTGATTCACTAACCTCTGCTTCGATTCAAAAAGCATGGCCTACTCTATGCCTAGGCTGCAACATTAGAAAATTTTCAGTAAAGGCATTGTCCTGTCAATCCCGTACCAAACTGCTCACGCATTGTTTGCAATGATGTTCTATGTCTTTGCCCCGATTCTCCACCAGTTATAATTCATCTCTGAAAAATTCTTTAACCAGGCCAAGGTCCATAGCAGTACTGTAATAATAATTTGTGACCTAAAGAGTTTTGACTTCTCTGAAATAGGACTTACTTGGTTGTTGCTGTGAATGCCTATCTGTCTTTTTCCTTAAATAAGTAAAAAGCGTAAATCACAGAAGAGGAATAAAGTTCATATTGTAAGAGCAACTAAAAAAAATCATTCGATGACTACCAGTGTTTGCCAGTACATATATTTAAAAGATCCCCATTTCCATAAGAACTTGAGTGTCTTACACCCAAATGTGACTATCAATTCAGCAGCTATTACAACTTAAGCCATAATGAAGATTAATTTGCAATTGTAGCACCCTGGCAATTCAGGGCTCTGGA